GGAGAAGGTCCTCATCGAGGGCTCCATCAACTCCGTGCGCATCAGCATCTCCGTGAAGCAGGTACCGCTCGGGGGCTCGCGCGCACGCACCCGGCCCCCGCGTTGGCCTCGCGTTCAAATGCGCACCCCGTGTCCCGTGCGGGCCCTGACACGCACCTTGCTCCCGCCCCCCGCCACTCTCCCCAGGCCGATGAGATCGAGAAGATTTTGTGCCACAAGTTCATGCGCTTCATGATGATGCGGGCGGAGAACTTCTTCATTCTACGGCGCAAACCTGTGGAGGTAACCCCTCACCGCTCGCCGCCCCCTCACCACTCGCCCCCATCCTCGCCTCTCACCTCCCCGCATCTCCTCGCCCTCAAACACACGTCTCAGCTTCCTCACCCCTCTCCAAAACCTCTAAACTAACTAAACTAAACTTTTTATTTCACCAGGTAAGGCCCCTACTGAGCTATGTAGCTCTTTTTCAGAAGCAATCCTGGCCACCACAAATGATGGCTCGGCGAAAGTGGCTTGTCGTCGCATGGGAATTGACAGCAGCCAAATACTCTCAACGCGTGGTGACGTTGATTGTAAAATGTGGAGGGAAAAAACCGGAGGACCCGGAAAAAACTCCACGCGACCGCGGGGAGAGAGACACGCAAACTCCAAATATACAGCAGCAGGCGTCACGGTCGGGATAGAACCCGCGACCCTCTGCATACCCGGAGAGGTGGTTAACATCTCCTAGCCACCATGGTGCCCTCCTCACCCCTCTAACCCTCCCTGCCTAACCTCTTAGCCCTCACTTTAGTCGTCACACTTCACCCCCCTGTGTCACCCTTTTCTCTTAATTCCTCAACCTTATTCCCGTGTCTCACCTATTCACCTGTGGCATAGGGGTGTGTGTGTGTGTGTCTGTATTTACAGCTCGTGAGAGATTGAGCTGGTAGTGCGTGGTGTCACACAGTGTTAGTGCTGTGCGTGTTGTGTTTATGGCGGAGTGCACACACGACGGCGCGTGTGGTGGTGTGCGACCGACTTGGAAGCGAATTTGCTGCTCCGACGAGCACTTACGCGGCGCTCGCATCCTGCATGAAGCCCCTAGACCAGTGCTGGAAACTCCACATTTCTACGGTGGGGCTGAGACTGTATCGGACAACCGCTGTTGACTCCCCCACGTAATCGGTACTCGTTTACAGTCAAGCCGCAGTTCCTCCATGACTTGAAAACTCGCACCCGTTTCCCCATTTTCTTAAAGAACCAAAACCTTGGACCATCGTCATTTTCTAATAACTATCGGCCTATATCAATGCTGCCATTTTTTTAAAGCAAAAAAACTCGTTGACAGACTACAGATGCAGGAACATCTGTAGTCTGGAAGACTTGTTGACAATCAACCGGTCTGGAATTCTACCCCCCCTTTATAGCACTGAGACACAGTGTGCCGTGTGGCATGTGCAGTGTCACGTAGACGATGTGCGCTGTACGCTGTGCGCTGTACGGTGTGTCCTGTACGCTGTGCGCTGTACGCTGTACGGTGTGCCATGTGCGATGTACGGTGTGCCTTGTACGCTGTGCCGTGTGCGATGTGCCGTGTGCGGTGTACACTTACACCTGCTACATCGAAAACGGCGTCTTCCCCCCCTCCCCGCTTTTGTGGGCGCTGCGCAGGGCTACGACATCAGCTTCCTCATCACCAACTTCCACACGGAGCAGATGTACAAGCACAAGCTGGTGGACTTCCTCATCAACTTCATGGAGGAGATCGACAAAGAGATCAGCGAGATGAAGCTGTCCGTCAACGCCCGCGCTCGCATAGTGGCCGAGGAGTTCCTAAAAAACGTGAGGCTATCACCGAGACCCCTCACTGAGACTCACCATCACCGAGACTCATCACAGAGAGACTCACCACCTCAGAGACTCACCATCACTGAGACTCACCATCACAGAGACTCACCATCACTCAGACTCACCATCACAGAGACTCACCACCACAGAGACTCTCCATCACTGAGACTCACCATCACAGAGACTCGCCACCACTGAGACTCACCACCACTGAGACTCACCACCACTGAGACTCACCACCACTGAGACTCACCACCGCTGAGACTCACCACCACAGAGACTCACCATCACAGAGACTCACCAACACTGAGACTCACCATCACTGAGACTCACCACCACTGAGACTCACCACCACTGAGACTCACCACCACTGAGACTCACCACCACTGAGACTCACCACCACAGAGACTCACACCACTGAGACTCACCATCACTGAGACTCACCACCACTGAGACTCACCACCACTGAGACTCACCACCACTGAGACTCACCACCACAGAGACTCACCATCACAGAGACTCACCACCACAGAGACTCACCACCACAGAGACTCACCATCACAGAGACACCACCACAGAGACTCACCACCACAGAGACTCACCATCACTCAGAGACACCACCACAGAGACTCACCACCACAGAGACTCACCACCACTGAGACTCACCACCACTGAGACTCACCACCACTGAGACTCACCACCACTGAGACTCACCACCACTGAGACTCACCACCACTGAGACTCACCACCACAGAGACTCACCACCACTGAGACTCACCACCACTGAGACTCACCACCACAGAGACTCACCACCACAGAGACTCACCACCACGGAGACTCACCACCACAGAGACTCACCACCACAGAGACTCACCACCACTGAGACTCACCACCACTGAGACTCACCACCACTGAGACTCACCACCACTGAGACTCACCACCACTGAGACTCACCACCACTGAGACTCACCACCACCACTGAGACTCACCACCACTGAGACTCACCACCACAGAGACTCACCACCACTGAGACTCACCACTCACAGAGACTCACCACCACAGAGACTCACCACCACTGAGACTCACCACCACTGAGACTCACCACCACAGAGACTCACCACCACAGAGACTCACCACCACAGAGACTCACCACCACTGAGACTCACCACCACTGAGACCTCCCCACCACTGAGACTCACCACCACTGAGACTCACCACCACAGAGACTCACCACACAGAGACTCCCACCACTGAGACTCACCAGCCACTGAGACTCACCGACACTGAGACTCACCACCACTGAGACTCACCACCACTGAGACTCACCACCACTGAGACTCACCATCACAGAGACTCACCACCACTGAGACTCACCACCACTGAGACTCAACCACCACTGAGACTCACCACCACAGAGACTCACCACCACTGAGACTCACCACCACTGAGACTCACCACCACTAGAGACTCACCACCACAGAGACTCACCACCACAGAGACTCACCACCACTGAGACTCACCACACTGAGACTCACCACCACAGAGACTCACCACCACTGAGACTCACCACCACTGAGACTCACCATCACAGAGACTCACCATCACAGAGACTCACCACCACTGAGACTCACCACCACTGAGACTCACCACCACTGAGACTCACCACCACAGAGACTCACCACCACAGAGACTCACCACCACGAGACTCACCACACTGAGACTCACCATCCACTGAGACTCACCACCACAGAGACTCACCACCACTGAGACTCACCACCACTGAGACTCACCACCACAGAGACTCACCACCACTGAGACTCACCACCACGGAGACTCACCACCACTGAGACCTCACCACCACTGAGACTCACCACCACTGAGACTCACCACACAGAGAACTCACCACCACTGAGACTCACCACCACTGAGACTCACCACCACTAGGACTCACCCACACAGAGACTCACCACCACTGAGACTCACCACCACTGAGACTCACCACCACAGAGACTCACCACCACTGAGACTCACCACCACTGAGACCTCACCACCACAGAGACTCACCACCACAGAGACTCACCATCACAGAGACTCACCACCACTGAGACTCACCACCACTGAGACTCACCACCACTGAGACTCACCATCACAGAGACTCACCATCACAGAGACTCACCACCACAGAGACTCACCACCACTGAGACTCACCACCACTGAGACTCACCACCACTGAGACTCACCACCACTGAGACTCACCATCACAGAGACTCACCATCACAGAGACTCGCCATCACCGAGACTCCTCGCAGAGAGACTCCCTGAGACTCGCTCACGCGCTCGCTACCGTCAGTCACTCGGCACTCGAGACCCGGTCACCGCCGTGACTCGCTCGGGGTCCTCCGGGTGCTCATTTAGAGCCTGGCTGCTGCTGAGAGGTTGCGGGATGAAATTCCGTGGCGACGTCGGTGCTGATGGTGACGCCTCCTGCCTTTGTCGTTACAGTTCTAGGCTGAGACGGCGGGAGCCCTGCAAGACGTGCCCAGCCGAGGACCACCGGACGCCCCCCCCCCCCCCCCCCCCGCTTGCGTCCACGCGGCGCGTGCTGCGACCTCCACGGATTTTTTTGTACAAAAAAATTGTCGGTAGTGGGCTCGCTTGTAAACGACGTGTGATTCGGATGGTGTCAGTGACGATACATATTCATTTATGAGTCGGTAAGCAGCCACGCTTTTGAGAACCATTTCCATCCCCGGCTCATCTTTGTATGCGCCTCCTCTTCTTCCTCTTCGCCTGGCAGGGCCGAGCACTCGCCGGTGTGCACCCGTGGGAGGGGGCGGGGGAGTCACGGCGCTCGGGTTTTGATTGACAGCTTAGTGGGGGCGGTCTAACGAGCGTGATGGAAGAACGGCGTCAATAATAGCAATAACACCCTCTCGGCGCACAGCCCTCCGTGAACCCTAATCGTGAGCCCCCCACCCCCCCACAAATTTTATTCTCAGAATGTATTCTCAGAATGTATTCTCAGATTGTATTCTCGCCGTTCGTTCACTGGGGCAGCGACGCGACCTCCCAGCGGTGGAGAGCGCGTGTTCGCTGCCCTTAAGATGCCCCGGCGTAAAGCGCAGAGGGGGGCGGCGGTGTGTGGGGGGGACACGGGAGGGCGGTGGGGGGTCTGGGCCCATGCGAGTGCCGCAAGTTTTGTCACTGGAGCATCCGAATAAAAACGACCGCAGCTCGCCGACCCACGTGATGTGCTCTTGCTCGAGGGAGACGCAAAAAAAATGGGATTCGACCGACCATCGTGGTTTTTTTTGTTTTTTTTCAAAGCAGTCCTTTATTATTTCTAAGTCTACGCTAACGGGGCGCCGGGCGGGTTGGCGGGCAAGGAGGCAGCAGCAGCAGCTCCTCGCGGCTCGTCGGGTGGATCTCGCGCTCCTCCGCGCCACCCCCGGCTCACCCCAGCTCACCCCAGCTCACCCCAGCTCACCCCAGCTCACCCCAGCTCACCCCAGCTCCGTGTGCACCTGTGGGCAGGGGACCAAGGGGAAAAGCGTGGGCGGTCGAGGTGAAAGAGTCGCTGAATGGTGAAAGCACGAGTGGGTGAGGAGTTGAGTGAGTGAGCGGGTCGGCGGGTGGATGGGTCGTTGGGTGTAAGCGAAGGGTGTGGGTGAGCTCGTGCAAGGCAGTGGTTGGAAGTGAACGGATTTGTGGGTGGGTGGGGGTAGGGTGGGTTGGTCAAAGTGAGCGGGTGAAAGTCTGCGAATAGGTGCGTGGGCAAATAAGCAAGTTGGCGATTGAATCCCTGGCATGGCTGATGGTGTGGGGAGCAGTCCCCCCCCCACCCCCGTGGACAGCCGAGCGATGCCGCAAGCGTTTCTACCGACCGCGACGGGAGACCGCGGGGCCAGGGAGCTTGGCAACGGCGCCCGGTGGGCAGTGGAGAGCCTCGGCGGAGCTGCGTGCCCTCATCTACCCGACTGGCTCCAAACCGCGCCCCTCCCACTCCAGGCACCGGTGCGGAGACGGCTTCCATGCTCGGCGTGGTAGCGCTGCGTGGTTGCACTGTGTGGTTGCACTGCGTGGTAGCGCGTGGTAGCGCTGCGTGGTTGCACTGCGTGGTAACGCTGCGTGGTAACGCTGCGTGGTAGCGCTGCGTGGTTGCACTGCGTGGTAGCGCTGACGTGGTTGCACTGGGTGGTAGCGCTGCGTGGTAGCGCTGCGTGGTAGCGCTGCGTGGTTGCGCTGCGTGGTAGCGCTGCGTGGTAGCGCTGCGTGGTTGCGCTGCGTGGTAGCGCTGCGTGGTTGCGCTGCGTGGTTGCGCTGCGTGGTAGCGCTGCGTGGTTGCGCTGCGTGGTAGCGCTGCGTGGTTGCGCTGCGTGGTAGCGCTGCGTGGTTGCGCTGCGTGGTTGCGCTGCGTGGTTGCGCTGCGTGGTTGCGCTGCGTGGTTGCGCTGCGTGGTTGCGCTGCGTGGTTGCGCTGCGTGGTTGCGCTGCGTGGTTGCGCTGCGTGGTTGCGCTGCGTGGTTGCGCTGCGTGGTAGCGCTGCGTGGTTGCGCTGCGTGGTAGCGCTGCGTGGTAGCGCTGCGTGGTTGCGCTGCGTGGTAGCGCTGCGTGGTTGCGCTGCGTGGTTGCGCTGCGTGGTTGCGCTGCGTGGTAGCGCTGCGTGGTTGCGCTGCGTGGTTGCGCTGCGTGGTAGCGCTGCGTGGTTGCGCTGCGTGGTTGCGCTGCGTGGTTGCGCTGCGTGCCTGCGCTGCGGCGTTGGCCGTGCGTACCCCGCTCCGGCCCCGCTGCAGGCAGTGGACGGCAGCCGCGTGCACGCTGGGGAACAGCCTGGCGCCTCCCGGGTCCGCGCCTGCCGGGTCCGTTGCTGTGCCCGTCTCCGTGACGCCGGGCGTGAAGAACCCACAGGAGTGGAGTTGCTCCAGGACGCAGTCTCCTCGTATGGGGGGCGGGGTGGGGGAGACGGTGACGGGCACGGTGCCACCGTCACGACCGTGCGGGCGCGGCAACGCGGGGGTGCGGGTCGACGGTGTGCGAGCTCAGCCCTTACCCTGACAGGCGGCGATGCACACCTCCAGGCCCATCGCGCCCAGCCCCGCCATGGCCTGTGACGCACACGCCGAGCACAACAACAACAACAGCAGGAGCCGCCATTCGCCAGCAAGTGGCGGGGACGTCGCCACGGCGCTTTGTGCCGAGCGCAGTCGCAGGCCGATAACGGTTACCCTTCCCGGGGACGTCGAGCCAGGCCCCGGCTCGAGAGTCGTGCTCTCACGTTGGGGAGATGCGCCTGCTGGATGTGTCCGCTAGCGGATGACCACTGCTACCCGTGCTCCTGATGGCCTATCCGCCCCGTGGTCTCACGTCATCGTTTTGTGGGCGGGAATTGCGAGTGGCGAGGATCTCGGCTCCGGAAGACGTCGTTGTCCCATCAGATCCATACGGGGAGGTGGCCGGGTGGCTCGGAGGTCAAGAACGCTGAGCCAGCGATGCTGAGATGCTAGGTTCTAATTCAGGTTTCAAGCCACCATGTGATTAAACCGGATTCTCAAGCGTGTTGAGTTGATGGGCCCAGGTACGGTCACCAATGAATGCACGCAAAAAAACACATTAAATCACGCGAACTCCGGTCATTCTCGCAGCGGCGTTTGGCTAAGATGGTCATTACATCTTTCAGTTTGTTGCCCCCCCCCCCCCCACGCCTCCGATTCGCCACGGTTGGCTACGTACGGTACGAAAGAAGTTGACTGGCCACCGGTAGTTCGAGTGACTGTGGAGTGAATCGGCGAGCAGCGACACGGCCCGCCTGGGTTACGCCTCCACGTGCCCTCCACGTGCCCTCACCGTCTTGAGGGTCTTCACGGCAACGGTGTCCACCAGGTTGACCGGAGAGAAGTCCAGAATGAGCGAGTGGATGGCGGGCCGGGGAGCCGCGCGGTCCTCCGTGTCCGGCGCCATCAGCCCCGGCAGCCCCGGCAGCCCCGGCAGCCCGAGCGCGCACTCCCTCCCCGCCGGCTCCACCGCCAGCCCCGGCTCGGCACCGGGCGCCGGCATCTGGGCCCCGTCTCCCGTGGCCGGCGCCACCTGCAGATGGGGGGGAGGGGAGGGGGGCGCGGCCACATCGCCGAGTGACCAGGAGGAGTCGGTGGGGCCATCGGTATCGTGGGCAGCGGGGAAGGTCATCGCGTTTCCACTGTGCCGGTGTTCGTTGCAGGGCCACTGGCGGCCCTCTGGTGGCCTTTAGTTGCGGCCCCCTGAACGTGCGCCCCTCCCCCCTTCACCCCAGACAATACACAACGTTTGAGAACACCCCCCATCATCCTCGTGCTGCCGTCACACCCCCCAGTGGTTTCACGTGGTGTGGCGGTCCCTCGCTCACACTGATGATGTCTTATCGGCGAAAGTGGCCCCAATCTGAAAATTGGTCAAGAACACTGTCATGTACGGCGGGGTCACGGACATCTGTCAGCGGTCATAATATTTCCATAGGCGTAGCCAGGGTCATAGACGGCAGTGTCAATGACGGGTGTAATTGGAATCGCTCTTTCATCATTTCAACATGTGTCATTCATTGTTCTAGGTATCAGTAGGCTCATGATTACCCGACTCATCAGCCGGGTCATTACATCACCAGGGTCAACACAATCCTATAGATGTGCGTGGTTATTGCATTTTCACAGATGTCGGGTGGCCATCGTCTGTCCGTGGCTGCATCGGTGCTGGGTCCTGGAGGAGGTGAAAGTTGACGAGGCGCGAGTGGACGATGAGATGAGAGTGAAGAGAGAGCGAGTGGAGGAGATGAGAGATGAAGCGATGGGAGTTGCGTGCAAGCGAGTGAATTCAGGTCTGGCTTGGGGGTGGAGTTATAGTAGGTGGCTGTCAGGGTGTGAGTGGAGAAGCGGTCCTGTAGCAGTTAGCGCGCTGCGCTACGAACCCGGCGACCCTAATTCGATTCCTGCTCGCGATCAATAACGATGACGAATATCTGGACCCGGTCCTGGCCCTCCCCTAGGTCGACTCGGCCTCGTATGAGTACCTGTTTGCGATGTGTAGTGAACATCGACGCTCAGGAGGCAAAGGCGGTCGGGCGTGGTGCTGGCCACCCACCCCCTCCCTCATGTGCCGTGCCGGCCTTCATTAAGTGCTCGCTAACAGCACTTGCCCCAACAGTCTGCTAAGGCTATACGGCAGATCTTTGTCTTTGGGGTATGAATTGCTAAGGGGGTAGATGGTGTGGGTGGATGGGGTGTGAGCGAAGGCACAACTATAAACTATTACAACTATTTTTTATCTAACCAAGGTGCGTCCCACTGAGCTGTGTATCGATTTTTCAGAAGCGACCTGGCAATCACCAATGATAACGAAGTGGATTGTCACGTGAAAATCTATAGCAGCCAAATACTCTAAATGCGTGATGTTGATTCACTGTGTAAAAAATAAATTTGTTCCTGGGTAATAAGTGTTATTTCCTAATTGTTTATGCTTTAAAAGTACAGAAAATGGCTATTCCCACAAACTTTGCTTTTGTGACCAGGACAGTGATATGTTGAAATGTACCTATTTTCAATGAGAAAACGTGTGCATTTGTGTCATTCCTTCACATAAAGTACTGGTCACAAAAGCAAAGTTTTTGGGCAATAATAGCCATCTTCTATACTTTTTAGGCATAAGCAATTAAAAAATAACACTACCCAGCGACAAAAATCGTGTTACATAATGAATTATAAATGTGGAGGACCTGAGAAAAATCCACGCGACCACGGGGAGAGAGACACGCAAAGTCCAAAAAATGTACAGTACGTGCCAGGGTCAGGATTGAACCCACGTCCTGTACACCAGGCGAGGTGGTGAACATGTCGCCACCGCGGCGCGAGTGGATAAGGTGTGAGTGGCGGCAGTGTGAGTGGAAGAGGTGCGAGAGGTGTGATTGGAGGAGGAGGAGTGAGTGGAGGAGTGAGTGGAGGAGTGAAGGAGAAGGCGTGGGAGGAGGATGAGTCGTCTCGCCTTGTTGTTCCCTGGAGCCCCGTGAGCTCTGTGCCTGGAGCACCTCCTGTCTGGAGCCCGAGCCTGCTCCAGGAGCCCCGTCTGCGAACCGATGTCACGCGGTGAGCGGCGCCGACTCGCGACGGCGCATCGCGTTCACGGTGGCTATGAGATGTTAACTCCCTCGCCTGGTACGCAGGAGGTTGTGGGTTTGATCCCAATCCTGACGCCTGCTGTATATTTGGAGTTTGCGTGTCTCTGTCTCAACATCATCACGGTGGCTATGAGATGTTAACTCCCTCGCCTGGTACGCAGGAGGTCGTGGGTTTGATCCTAATCCTGACGCCTGCTGTATATTTGGAGTTTGCGTGTCTCTGTCTCATCATCATCACGGTGGCTATGAGATGTTAACTCCCTCGCCTGGTACACAGGAGGTCGTGGGTTTGATCCCAATCCTGACGCCTGCTGTATATTTGGAGTTTGCGTGTCTCTGTCTCATCATCATCACGGTGGCTATGAAATGTTAACTCCCTCGCCTGGTACACAGGAGGTCGTGGGTTTGATCCCAATCCTGACGCCTGCTGTATATTTGGAGTTTGCGTGTCTCTGTCTCATCATCATCACGGTGGCTATGAGATGTTAACTCCATCGCCTGGTACACATGAGGTCGTGGGTTTGATCCCAATCCTGACGCCTGCTGTATTTTTGGAGTTTGCGTGTCTCTGGGTCCTCCGGTATTTCCCCTGCACATTTAGAAACAACGTCACGCGTTTCGAGTGTTTGGCTGCTGCTATAAATGTCCACGTGGTGATGCTGAGCCCCGCTTCATTGAGCTTTCCTTCGTGATAGCCACGTCGCTTCTGTCAAAGAGCTACATAGCTCAGTGGGCCTTACCTGGTCAAATAAAAAATAGTTTTAGTTTCTATCATTCACAGGGGAGAACTCCCGGCTGCTCCCACAAGGAGACCTCCGTAAGAGGTTTTTGGGTTAGATCGCGTAAATGTGAATGTGTCGTTAAACCCGCCACCACCCGACACAACCAATTAATAAGGTTTGTCACGTAGACAAAACGTCGTTACGAGTACAGCACACCGGTTGTGTGTTCGAGAGTAAAACCCACGCCAACATTTACGATTGAGACATCTTCCACATTTACAAGGAGACCTCCGCAACCCGACGATCGGCCGAGTCCACCAACTCGAGAGAGTCGACCAACTCGAGAGAGTCGACCAACTCGAGAGAGTCGACCCCGGTGCAATCGGAGGGTGGAGGCGCGGCCTCCCGCGTGTTCGTGATCATACTACTCGCTGCCTTCGTCCTTAAACCCTTCACCATCCTCCCGCCTTCCCCTACCTAACTCCACCACCCTCCCTTGCCCTATCATCACCCTCCCTTGCCATCCTACCTCTCCCCCTTCCTAACCTCGCCAGCCCTTCCTTGCCCTATTATCGCCCTTCCTTACCATCCCTTCCCCTCCACAACAACTCAAACTCCATCCATCATCATCAGCCAATAGCGAATGTACCATTTATAATTCTTGTAAAGTGATTCTCGATTTGAAGCTTTCGTGACTGCAAGGATTCATACTCTTAGTTTTTTTCGGTAAAGTCACTTGTAAAGTGCTTTGACAAAATCTCATCCTCGATGAGATGAGACGACCTATTTATCCCGAGAGAGTCGCACTGAGCCCTCGAACTTTCTCAGGAGGGTCCTGCTGCTGCTGCTGCTGCTCCGTTGGGTTTTTATTTTCAAGATGTTTTCGGGCCAATGAATGACGATCTGCGTTTGTTACTATACACGTGTGGCAAGACACCGGAGCAACCCGGAGAAAACCGGAATATGTATTCACACTGGAGGAATCCGATGAGCTATGAAGCTCTTTTTCCCCCAAAGATTCCCGGAAGGAAACCCCGACGCCTTGCGCGAGGGGGCGCAACGCTTTATCCCCGTACAGATGGACACAGATGGCGACTGGTTCACTTGCTGCTCCACCGCCTTCACCTGGGCGAGCCGAGGGGTACGGCACCCCCTTGCCGCCCACGGGCGAAGGAATGGAGTCTCAGCACAACACCGGTGTGCAGGAGAGGCCGATCGAAATTCGGTTTCGGCGCCAAAAGTTGGCAAATGGCCTCTTTCGGCATACTTTCGGTTTCGGCCGAAAGTCAATTTTTTACTTTCGGTTTCGGCCGAAACCAGAAATTCAGTTTGGGTCGGCCTCAAGTATGCAGCAATCCACCAACCCCCACTGATGGTTGACCTCCACAGCGCCGGCTGACGGCCGTGCGTGCGGGCGCGATGGCCTCGCCTAGACAGCGCAGCGCTGGGCACGTGGTTGAACGACGACCACGCTGAACCCCCCCCCCCACTCTGGGGTGGGGGTGAGGGGGTGAGGCTGGTGCATCTACCGGACATCTCAAGTCAGCCAAACCCACGGCACCCACGTGTACCCGTGTATTCCCGCGTGTGCCCTCGTGTGTCTATGTACCCGTGCGTCTATGTTCCTGCATTTTAGCCGCTCACAGCAATGAGCGGAGCGGCGGGTGGCTAAAATGTAGCAAGTTGGCACAGTAGGGGGTACAGCTGGTGCATCTACCGGTCATCTCAATCAGCCAATGCATGGCACCTGCTGGGTCTGTCCCAAGACCTCCTCCTGTTAGCAGCGAAGCCTTCGACACTTCACGTGATGGCCTCAAAGTGCACCTGGCCTGGCACGGGCGCCGCGGTTACGTCGCCGTCACTTAGTGGCGAATGGCGGGTAGAACAGCAACAACAGAGGGGGTGAGGAGCCACCACCCCCTGTCACCCCCCTGCCACCCCTAGGCATATATCACCTTCTTGACGAGGGCACGCACGTAGAGCTCGACGTTGGCGAAGTAGAGGGCGGCGTTCGCCCGGAAGATCTTCACGCCGGGCAACTCCCGAGCCTGCACAGAGAGGCAGCGACCACCACCACCCCGCACCCAGCCAGCGTGTGGTCGCCACACACCACGTGACCCGGTTACATCACAGAGAGCGGGGCGGAGGCTCACGGCCCGGTGTTTGGAAGCTCTTTGTGGTGGTGGTTAGCAGTGGTGGTTAGTGGTCGTGATTAGCGGTGGTGGTTAGCGGTCTTAGTGGTGGTGGTTTGCGGTGGTGGTGGTTGGTGGTGGTGGTTAGCGGTGGTGGTTGGTGGCGGTGGTTGGCAGTGGTAGTTAGTAGTGGTGGTTAGCACGGCGGTTAGCGAGCGGCTGCGCGACAAAAACACGGTTACCGCGAGTTCGATTCCGGCTCGCGGCCAACACCGGTGACGATTATCTGAACCGGTCTTGGGCCTCCCACCATAGGTCGACTTGGCCTCAAATGAGTACCTGGCGTGGTGTGTGAACATCGCTACTGGGGAGATAAAGGCGGTCGGGCGTGGTGCTGGGCACCCACCCCCCTCGTGTACCGGCTCGGCCTTCATAGGCGTTACTCGTTAACAGCACTTGCCCCAACATTCTGTTAGAGGCTACACGGGGGATCTTCGTCTTTGGTGGTGATGGCTGCGGTGGTGTCGCTTTCACCGAGTGGCAAGTGGCAGTCGTTGATAGCGATTGGGTGTTGTGATGTTGTTGGTGACATTGGTGATATTATGGTTTATGATGGTAGTATGGTTGTGCTGACGATGTTGACGATGGTTGTGGTGATTGTGATGATGCTGTTTGTGGTAGCGGCGGTATTGATGGCGAGAGTGACGCTGTTGGTATTCTTGGGTGGCGATGGTGGTGATGGAGGTGGTGGTGATGATGATGTCAGTGATAATGACAATGATGATGACGGCTGGTGTGTGCTCCATGCAGCGTCTACTGCCTCCTTGGATTGGTTGAAACAACGTTTAGCCTTCAACCATTAACTCGTTTCAACACTGTTACTTTTCTATGCGCACGTACAAAGAAAGAAGATGGTAGTGGGAATGATGGTGGTGGTATTTGTGGAGGTATCGTGGTAGTGGTGGTAGTGGCGATGATAGTAATGCTGCTGGTGCTAGTGGCGATCGTGATGGTGGTGATGGTGGCGATGGTTATAGTGGTGGTGGCGATGGTGATAGTGGTGGTGGCGATGGTGGTGGTGGTAGTTGCGATGATAGTAATGCTGGTGGTGGTGATGGTGGCAATGGTGATAGTGGTGGTGGCGATGGTGATAGTGGTGGTGGCGATGGTGGTGGTGGAAGTTGCGATGATAGTAATGCTGGTGGTGGTGGCGATGGTGGTGATGGTGGCGATGGTGATAGTGGTGGTGGCGATGATAGTAATGCTGGTGATGGTGGGGCAATGGTGGTGGTTGGTGATGGTGGCGATGTCACCACGCAGTTGTTCTCAATGTCACAGTACGTCTCGCAGTCCGGCAGCTTTCCCAGCAGTGAGTAGCGCGGCCTGTGACAACGACAAAGATTCCCCGCGTAGCCTTTAGCGAGTAACCGCTACACCACCGCTCCCCACACGTGCACGCACGCACCACGACACAGCCACAACACCACCCTGGGCAAGCCACACCACCCCTGGGTCGAACGAAACGAGCCCAAGCGGCAACACTAACTCGGGCAGCCTCACCAACCCCCGGAGAGGCTCACCTCTGCGTGCGCACGATGACCGTGAGGAGGGAGAAGGCGACGGAGGCGGCGAGGCCCAGGTCCAGCCCCAACAGAACCACGGCCACGAAGGACACCAGCCAGATGGCCTGACGCACCACACAGTGTCGGTGAGGCGAGGCGCTCCACCCCAACAGCTCCACCCTGGACCCCACCAGCTACACCCTGAACTTCGCAGGCTCCACCCAGGACCCCATCAGCTCCACCCTGGACCTCACTAGCTCCACCCTCGACCCCTCTACCTCCACCATAGACCCCACGAGCTCCACCTGGACCCCAACAGCTCCACCATGGACCCCTCCAGCCCCACCCTGGACCCCACCAGCTACACCCTGAACTTCGCAGGCTCCACCCAGGACCCCATCAGCTCCACCCTGGACCTCACTAGCTCCACCCTCGACCCCTCTACCTCCACCATAGACCCCACGAGCTCCACCTGGACCCCAACAGCTCCACCCTCGACCCCTCTACCTCCACCATTGACCCCACCAGCTCCACGTGGACCCCACCAACACAACCTAGGACCCTGCCAGCTCCACCCTGGACCCCTCCCGCTCCAGCCTGGTCCTTACGAGCTCCACCCTGGAACCCAACAGCGCCACCCTGGACCCCTCTAGCTCTATCCTGGACCCCACCAACCCTACCCTGGACCCTGCCAGTTGTAGCCTGGACCCCTCCAGCTCCACCATGGACCCCTCCAGCCCCACCCTGGATCCCAGCAGCTCCACCCTGGAGTCATGGGCTGGACATCCTCAGCGCCCGCTCCCCCCGGGTCTGCACTCACAAAGTCGGCGCGGCTGGTTCTCCACAGCACGGGGAGGTCCCCGAACTGGCAGAACATCCCCCTGAGGTTCACCACGATGATCGCGGCCAGCGTAGCCTGGGCGAGGGTGGCACGAGATGAGAGGGAGTGAGGTGAGAGCCGGGGGAGGGGTGGGGCGGGGGCACCGTAGTTGTCAATTTGAGACAAAGGCAGCCAGGCGTAGTGGTGCTGGCCACCTATGGCCTCATCCCCATACCGACCTTTCAGGTGCTACTCGCTGTCTGCACTGGCCTCAACGGTCTGTTACAGACTGGTGGCATTGGTGGCACTGCAGGTAGTTGGTAGTGGTGGCGATCGAGGGGATCTTTCGTCTTGTGTGTGCATGTGTGTGTGTGTGCGTCTGCGCGTGTGTGTGTTTGCATGCGTATGCCTGTCACTCACCCTGGGTAGAGGCTCCAGGAGACGCCCCATGGACAGCGTGCTGACCAGCACCACCAGGCTGGCCACCAGACCCGCCACCTACACAGAGACACAGGCCCCCCGTGTACCATTTCATATCGCTGTTGGGGCAAGTGCTGTTAGCGAGCGCTTGTTAAGGCCAGCGCGCCACACACACACAAAGGGCTGGGTGAACGGCACACTGCGCCTGTCCACCTTTGTATCCCCAATGCCGATGCTTACACACCACACTAGGTACACGTTTAAGGCTGAATCGTCCTTGGGGGAGGCCCAGGACCGATTTAGATATTCCTCACCGATGTTTGGTCCTGAGCGGGAATAGAACTCGGGTTGCCGTGCCCGTAGTCCAGGTGCGTTACAGGGAGGGAGGTGGAAGGGGGAGGTATGTAGGTATTTTGAACTTCTTTCACACCATACGTAGCCAACCGTGCAAATCGGAAGTGCAGGGGAAGGATAGCAAACTAAACACAAAAAGCAGTTGTAAAGAAGTGAGTAATGAATCTAGATGATGATTTTAAAGTGTATAGCTGCAACGGCTTCCTAATATCGAAAGGAAGAGCGTTCCAGACGGCCGCAGAAGCGCATCTGAAAGCGCCACGTGATGCGGTGACCACCGTCTTTGTTCGATGGCCAGCCAAAGCAGCTGCTCCTGCAGCAAGGATGACCACTGGAGTTGGCATGATCGTTTATGCTCCTTGACGAGATCAGCAAGGTGTCGTGGTTCATTTGTGGAAAGCGCTTTGTGTGTAATGAGCGCGACCTTATCACGTATTCGTTTTGCAACCGGAAGCTAATCCAGCTTGGCGAGCACTGGACGGACACGGTCGGATCTTTCAGTACCCGTCGCGACACATGCCAGAGAATGTTGTACACGCTGCTGCAGCTTTATAATGTTTTTTCCAGACTTCCCGTAGACTATTGTGAGGTGCAATGAAATCGAGCGTTGTCCGACCCTCGGCTGCACGCCACCGTGTTGGCTATGTCACGACTCAATAGTGGTCGAGTGTGGCGGAGAGCCCTGATGTGGAAATTGCAGGAGGGGAGGGCGGGAAGGCCCTCACCTGCGTGTGGCCTCCGCTGTTCTCCTGCAGGAGGCTTCTGGACATGGAGCAGGCAATGGGGAAAGCGCCGAAGAAGGCGCCGAGGACGTTACTCAGACCCAGGGCCAGCAGCTCCTGCACGAGAGCGGGACGGGGGGGGAGAAATATTATTTGAGTTTTTAAAAAACATATTTGAAATAATCCATTCGGTGTCTGTGGATGAACGTCGATCCACGCGTCCCAGGCCACCACAACTTCAGCGCTCACTGTCCCCAGTCACAAGATTGTCTCCTCCAGGAGTGGCTCGCGACGTGGGTCTATGACTCTCCGTGTGAGTCTGTGGGTCTCTGAGAGCCCGTGGTCTCTATCAGTGTGGGTCTTGACGTGGGTCTAATCGTGAGTGCTGTAAGGATAAATCCATCCATCAATGCGCAATACAGACATCTTTCCGTACGTATAAACATCCATCCGAGATGCCATCAGATGGATTTCTAAATTAAACAAAGGCAAAGATCCCCCGTATAGCGTAAACAGAATGTTGGGGCAAGTGCTGTTAGCAAGCATCTTTGGAAGGGCACACGAGGGGCGGGTGCCCAGCACCACGCTCGGCCGCCTTTGTCTCCCTAGTGGCGATGTTTTCACACTGCACCAGGTACTCATTTGCGGCTGAGTTGACCTAGGGGAGGCCCAGGACCAGTTCAGATAACTGGTGTTGGTCGTGAACGGCAATCGAACTCCGGTCGCCAGGTTTCGTAGTGCAGCGTGGTGACCGCTACACTACCGCTCCCCACTCAACGTGCACACACACACATTCTGGACCGCCTTGCTAATGAGATGTTCCACCCGATGGAATTTTTTTTCTGCCGGGTGCAATATTTTTGGAAATTAAAGAACTGGGGTCGCTAACTCGGTCCGTTGCTTGCTCGACGCCCGAACGAGAGCAGAAATCAGGAAGGGAAGCGGGGGGGGGGGGCACTGTGGCGCGGAGGACTTGGGGAGGGTGAGGGGGGGGAGGGGGAGGGCCGCACCTGGGTGCCGTCCACCGTGTAGCCGTGCTTCTGCGCGAACATCTTCCCTAGGGAGACGGCCACCGTGTAGCCCACCACGGCGAGCGCCAGCGCGTCCCCCACGAGGCCCACGGATAGAGCGAGCGACGGCCACTCCGGGGCCGCCAGCCTGGTGAAGCACGGAGAGACGCACACACACACGTACAACAACAACCGACATTCCTCACTAAGTGGCGGTGACGTCACCACGACGCCTGTGCCAGGCTATGTGCATTTTAAGGCCACGTGAAGTATTGAGCGCCTGCTGGCAGGCGGTCACGGGACAGACCCAGGTGCCATGGGTTGACTAACTAAGATGACTGGCTGATGCCCCCTACTGTGCCAACTTGCTGTGTTTTAGCCACCCCGCGCTCCCGGCCATGTAGTTTTACCCGGCCCTGCACACCATTATGAAGATCCTTAATGATTGTGAGTAAGGAGTCAGGGACTCCAAAAGTATTAAGAACAACCCAGAGTCCAGGCCTATTGATGGTATCAAGGCCTTGACCAGGTCAATAAAGCAGAGATGTAGGTCCTGTTGGAATTCTTTACACCTCTGCTGTAGCAGACGGAAAGAAAATATGGCATCTGTGCAGGACCACCCTTTCCTGAAACCACATTGCGGCTCCACAAGCCTCTCCTCAGCGTGCCTGGCAAGGTGATGTAGAATGATCCTTGCCAGGATAGTGGGAGTGGGCCTGTCGCTTTTTCTCAACCAGTCAGAACACCTCCTCCATCAGCCAGGATCTCTGGGGAGGTTTGGTCCCTGTACACAAAGCAGCCATTGCAGCTGCATGATCCACAGTCCCGAACCTCAGCTATTTCCCCTCGGCATCAGGAGGGGGGACGATGCCAACCCCAGTTGCAAGCGATGATGAAATTCTCGCTTGAAACTCTCATCAGCTAGCTGAGACGAGGCCACTGTGGGTTTTAATGGGGTCTGAGATGGACAGCCACCACCGGAGTGGAAGAATGGCAGGTGCATCTTACAGGTGACAAGTCGATGAGCAATGGGCAGATCAGCTCCACGGCAGGTCCTGGTGTCGAGGACATGGGCCCTCATCCGCTGTTCCGTCACTATGTAATCCAGCAGATGTTCTTGCTTGGACCCGGCATGCATCCATGATGTTATGTGGATGTGCCAATGCTGGAACAGCGTGTTGGTAATTACAAACCCAGGGGTTGCAGAGAAGTCTAGCAGCCTGCTACCGTTGTTATTTATCTGATCTGGCCCATGCCTTCCAATCACTCCGTACGCACACACGCACGCACACACACACGCACACGCACGCACGCACACACGCACACACGCGCACGCACACCCACATATGGAGCACAGGTGAGGCGGCAAGGGCGCCTTTAGCACAGGTGAGACGATTGGGATGGGGAGGGGAGCTTCGGGTTTTACCCGGATGGGATGAGCCCCACGACGTCCACGCTATGATCCGGGCTCAGCTGCAGCTGCTCGGAGAGAACCGTGCCCAGCACCACCTGCACACACACACACACAGGTACATAGACACGGGTACATGGACACACGCGGGTACAGCGACACACCAATACCAACACCCGCCATTCGCCACTAAGTGGCGGCGATGTCACTACGGCGCCCGTGCCAGGCCAGGTGCACTTTGAGGCTATCACGTGAAGTGTCGAAGGCTCGCTGATGGCAGGAGGAGGTCTCGGGACAGGCCCAGCAGGTACCATGCGTTGGCTGAGATGACTGGTAGATGCACCACCAGCTGTACCCCCGACTGTGCCAACTTGCTACATTTTATCCGCCCGCCGCTTCTCTCGTTGTTGTGGGCAGCTAAAATGCAGGAACAAAGACGCACAGACGCACGAGGACACACGCGCGACTACACGGGTATTTCACAGTTCCTATGATCACTGTTACATTGCTTTTATAGCTTTATTTTGGTGATTTCCAAAATGTTTTGGTTTAGCCATATTTGTTTGTTGTAGTACAGTTAGACTGATAACTTTAATCAAAATTGCCTTACGATTGTTATTGTTTGACTTGCATCCCACTGGGATTTTTGCACACAGCATTGATATACGATGTTTTTTCTGGAAGACTTTGCTGTTTTTTCCTGGATTTTTCTGTTGCGCGTCGTCACTTTAAGATGTTTCTTGTTCATGTTTTTGTTCGTTGCGGTTGCACCCGAGTCAAGAGCCGAATGGCTCACAGGGCTATACCAAATACATGAACTGAACTGATGTAAGCACATACGGGCAGACGCGAGAATGCACGGGTACACATGGGGTTCACCTGGACACACGCGAACACACGCGGACACACACGTGCGGGAACGCAGCGCGCGCCCGTGCTGCACACGCATCTCTCTGAACGCGACCCGCGGTGCCCGCCAGCGAGACGGTGGCTGAGGCAAGGCTGGGATCCAGCCCCTGTGCCCCCTCTCTCTCTCTCTGTCTCTTCCTGTGTCTCTCTTTCTGTGTCTCTGTCTGTCTCTGTCTCTCTGTGTCTCTGTCTGTCTCTGTGTCTCTCTCTGTCTCTGTGTCTCTCTGTGTCTCTCTCTCTGTCTCTCTGTGTCTCTGTCTGTGTCTGTCTGTCTCTGTGTCTCTGTGTCTCTCTGTGTCTCTGTCTGTCTCTGCGTCTATATGTGTCTCTATCTCTCTCTGTGTCTCTCTGTGTCTCTGACTGTCTCTGTCTCTCTGTGTCTCTCTGTGTCTCTATCTCTCTCTGTCTCTCTGTGTCTCTCTGTCTCTCTCTGTCTCTGAGTCTCTCTGTGTCTCTCTGTGTCTCTGTCTCTCTGTGTCTGTCTGTCTCTGTGTCTCTGTCAGTCTCTGTCTCTCTGTGTCTCTGTCTGCTTCTATCCCTCGCACTGCTCCACTTCGGAATGGCCTCCTCGCATCGTCGTCATCGTCATCGTCTCCGATCGCCAACCTCTCATCAGCTTGCTCTATCCACGACACGTGCCACAACCCCTATCCATTACAACTGAGATCGTTGATGTTGTGTATGTTGGACTTCTTTCGCACCGTACGCTAGTCAACCGTGCTAATCGGGGGTGCTGTTTGTTACAGGTCATTTGGCGTGTTGTGCCTACTGTGCTCGGCAAACTGTGTTAAAACTATTTACAAGCAAACTATTATTTAATTGTACCAGGTAAGGCCCCTACTTAGCTGCTCAGAACTGACCTGGCCGTCACAAATGATAGCTTTAACGATGTTCTGGCTTTCATCATCGTGTGCAAATGTAGAGCGGCAGTCAAACACTCGAAACGCGTGACGTTGCTTCTCATGTGGAGGGGTGAAAAGCCGGAGGACCCGGAGACAAATCCACGCGACCACGGGGAGAGAGACACCGCGAACTCACGAGGCACTCGAGCACGTGATGCGAGCACGTGATGGCCACGGCGCGTCACGCGTCACAATATTCACTGAGGCTGCACGAGGAGGAATCCGATAAGCCTCGAAGCTCTTTGTCACCAGACGTCCACCGGGGAATCGCTACGTTCAGGCGTCACCCCCCCCCCTTCCTACCCCTCATGTTCATTACCCCCCCCCCCAGCCTTTCCCGAACTTTCCACGACCTCCCACCGATCCCATTAATTTCCCCTATAGCGGTTTCCCAGTCGACCCCCCCCCCCCACGAGCACTCCGACGTGAACGTCTCTCCACCTTCAACAACAACAATCCCCACTTCTGTGCCCCCCCCCCCTCGCCCCTCCTGCGATGGCTCCTCGCCGCCGAGAATCGATCTCGCTGCTCGAACTCACGAGGAGCTGCTCGTTGTTAGACCCCTCCCCCAACACCGGCTGCGGCGAGAGTTATTTATTTATTTACGAATAGGGGGGTAGGGGAGGGGGGGGTCTCTCTGAATCGCTCACGCCCACTGTTGCTTCATTGCATGGCCACCAGAGGCCACTAGCGGCCCCTGGTGGTGGCCTTCAGTGCGGCCCTTCGACAACACCGCATGTCAAACACCCCCCCCCCCCACCTATACCCCCATCGTCATTATCGTAGTCATCGTGCTGCCGTCGAAACCCCAATGGTCTCGTATGCACACGATGGTGAACTTCTTTCGCACCGTACGTAGCCAACCGTGCTAATTGGAGGTGCGTGGGAAGGACAACAGACTCCGGGTCAGTTTAACACGTAGACTCCGGGTCTTTGTGTGAGTCGATGGGTCTCTGTGTGAGTCGATGGGTCTCTGTGTGAGTCTATGGGTCTTTGTGTGAGTCTCTGTGTCTCTGTGTGAGTCTATGTGTCTCTGTGTGAGTCGATGTGTCTCTGTGTGAGTCTATGGGTCTCTGTGTGAGTCTATGCGTCTCTGTGTGAGTCTATGGGTCTCTGTGTGAGTCTATGGGTCTCTGTGTGAGTCTATGGGTCTACGTGTGAGTTTATGGGTCTCCGTGTGAGTCTATGTGTCTCTGCGGGAGTCTATGGATCTCTGTGTGAGTCTATGGATCTGTGTGAGTATATGGGTCTCTGTGTGAGTCTATGGGTCTCTGTGAGTCTATGGGTCTCTTTAAGTCTATGGGTCTCTGTGTGAGTCTATGGGTCTCTGTGTGAGTCTATGGGTCTCTGTGTGAGTCTATGGGTCTCTGTGTGAGTCTATGGGTCTCTGTGTGAGTCTATGGATCTCTGTGTGAGTCTATGGGTCTGTGTGAGTATATGGGTCTCTGTGTGCGTCTATGAGTCTCTGTGTGAGTCTATGGGTATCTGTGTGAGTCGATGGTTCTCTGTGTGAGTCTATGTGTGTATGTTGAATTTCTTTCGCACCGTACGTAGCCACCCGTGCTCATCGCAGGTGCGGGGGCAGGACAACAGACGAGACACTCGAGGCAAGTGCGTGGCTGCACCTCGCACTGATGACGTCTTATCCGTGAAAGTGCCCCCCCCCCCCCCCCCCCAATCTGGAATGAGTGAAGAACACCGCCTTGCACGTTGATAAAGGGGCCGTCCATAAATGACGTCCCGCGATTTTGGAAGATTTTTTACCCCCCCCCCCGCTCGTCACACAAAGTCAGACCCCCCCCCCTCAAATATGACGTCGCAAAGCTCTGCCCCCCCCCCCAAAACATTTTTATTTTGAAAATAAAACATGCTTCAAATCGCTTTAAACTATTGTCATTGTAGTGCATATTTAATGTGGCGCTGCACTCTGATGTTGTAGGAGAAACATTTATTTTAGAAGTCTATTTAATGAAGTAGAGCGTGTTTATGTTTATTTATAGTTACGAATTTTGATGTGACGTCACATTTATCAAACTTCCCTCTTCGTCACACATCGTCACAAATGTCTGACCCCAACCCCCACCCCAGGTGCGTGACGTCATTTATTGGACGGGCCCAAAGGATACTCAGAAAGAGAGAGAGCAGCACGTGTCGCGAGAAGCTCGGGGCAGGGGGGGGCGGGGGGGGGAGGGGCAGGGGTGGGGGGCAGGGGTGGGGGGGCAGGGGTGGGGGGCAGGGGTGGGGGGGGGCAGGGGTGGGGGGCAGGGGTGGAGGGGGTTACCAGCAGCAGCTCTGCGGGCACGGGCACGCGGCGCAGGCGCGGCACGGAGTGCACCACGCGCTTGAGCAGCAGCATGGAGCAGAGCGACAGGAGGCTCACCAGCGCCGTGACCACGTTCACCTGCAGCACGCCCCGGCACACGTCACGCGCCGTCTACAGACGTGGGGGGGGGGGAGCGGGGGGGGGTCACGGGTTAAAGGGTCAGGACCGGAGTCGTGGTCGGAGCGCGTGTGGAGGAGCGGTGGGGGAGCGGTTAGCGCGCTGCGCGCACGACGAACCGAGTTCAATTCTCGCTCACTGCTGCCAACACGGGTGAAGATTTTCTGAAACCGGTCATGGGCTTTCCCTAGGTCGACTCGGCCTCAAATGAGCACTTGGTGCGGTGTGTGAGCAACGCTACTGGGGAGACAAAGGCGGCCTGGCGTAGTGCTGGCCCACCCACCCCTTGCCGGCCTGCATAGGTGCTCGTAAACAACACTTGCCCCAATAGCCTGTGGAGGCTACACGGGGGATTTTTGTCTCCACGTGCCGGGGTTGGCTCGTCTCCTTGCGCAGGGCGATCGCTTCATCGCGGGGGACTCACGCGGGGTGCTCGCGCAGGGGGCCCTCGCTTACCCGCGGGGGCGCGCGCGCACCCACGTGCGTACCCACGCACCCTGCCCCACGCACCCGGCCACGGGGCAGGGTGCACGGGGCAGGGCGCTCGCACGGCCACAGGGTGCCCGCGTACGTACGTGCAGGGTGCCGAGCACCTGGTCGTGTCGCCGCGGCAGGGCGAGTCCCAGCAGGTGCTTGAGCTGCGACACGAGCACCGTGACCGAGGCGGCGGTGCTGAAGCCGCGCACGAGCGGCTCCGAGAGGTAGGTGGCCACCACCCCGAAGCGGAGCAGCCCCAGCGCCACCTGGGGGGCGGCAAGCAGAGGAGGAGGAGGGAGCGGGGGGGGGGTAGCGCTCGGTACCAGCGGCGACGCACAAAGACAAAGGCTCCCCCCGTGTAGCCTCAACGGAGCGTTGTTTTAAACTAAAACTCATCTATTTAAAGTTGTTTTGTTTTACCGGGTAAGGCCCCCACACGGAGCTATGTAGCTGTTCATCTTCTTGGTTCTTTCGGAAAAGTCACGTAGAAGGGAAATAATAAAATGATAAAATAATAAAACATAATAAGATAAAATTCTCACGACGTTTCGGCCACAACGCAAGCAGCCCTCCTCAGGTGAAGAACAGGGCTGTCGGAAAGACAGCGTCCGAATGAACACCACCAGGCTTAGCAGCGTATATTTAAGCAGGGGTTAGAGGAGGAGAGCGCCTTGACAGAGGAATTTACATATCACGAAAGCTTTAAATCGAAATATATGTAGCTGTTGTTTTTAGATGCGACCTGGCCACCACAAGCGATAGATCAACGAAGTAGGCGTATTGTCATCGTCACGTGTACATATCATGGAGGGAAACCCTGAGGACCCAGTGAAAAATCCACGCAACTACATGGAGAGACACGCAAACTCCAAATACACAGCAGCAGGCGTGAGGTATCGAACCGACGGCCTCCTGTATACCAGGCGAGATAGTTAACATCTCCTAGCCACCGAAGCACCCTGTTAGTGAGCACCACCCCCGGCCACGACCGTCTCCCAATGTGGCGATGTTTACTCATCGCCCCAAGTACTAATTCGATTCCGAGTCGACCTAGCCGAAGCCCAGAACCGGTTCAGATAATCGTCGCCGGTGTTGGCAACCGCAGGCGGGAATCAAAGTCGGGTGGCCGGGTTCGCGGCGCGGCGCGCTGACCGCTACGCTCCCGCTCCCCGTACACGTGTCGTCCAAAGACCCCCCCCCCCCCGTGAAGCGTTCACACGCGCACACAGCCCCTCACCTGCACCCCAACGAGGACTCCGGTGCGAGTGACATTTTTTCTGGTGGAAGGTCGACCGGTGAACTAAACGGACATGGGGACACTGTCGGGGTGCTGCGCTTGTACTCTGGAGAGCCTCATAAATACCTTCTGCGGCACTCGATCCGCCAGGAATATCCCCTCGTCCTTCGAAGTCCCTCCTAGCACATCCCTGCTCAAAGTAACCCGCACCGTGGGAGAACTGAAACTATAAATTAAACTAAATTGCGTTGTTTTCCCGTCCCCAGGTAAGGCCCGCTGAGCTGTGTAGCTCTTCTTCAGAAGCGACCTGATCACGAATGACAGCTCGACCAAGTGGCCCATCACGTGGAAATGTCGAGCAGCCAAATACTCTGGACGCGTGATGTTGATTCTAAATGTGGAGGGAAAAACCGGACGACCCGGAGAGAAATCCACGGGGAGAGAGAGGGAAAGAGACACCGAAAACTCCAAATATACAGCAGGGGTCAAGGTGGGGGTGGAACCCACGACCTCTTGTATACCAGGCGAGGTATTTAACATCTCGCCACCGTTGTTAAACACCTCACCAGCTATACCGCGGTGGCGAGGTGTTTAATTCCTTCTGTACGGCGACCCCTGATCTCTGGAATCACCTCGCGACGACGTTTTGGATAAAAAATACAAACTTCACCCTCCATGGCCTACTTTAATCAACCAGTCTTGGACCTCAGATTTCATTTGAAGTTTAGGTGGGGGGGGGGGGGTAGGTGGGGTGGTTATAGGGTGTAGGTGGGGGGGTGAGAGGGAGTAGGTGGGGGGGGGAAGGGAGTAGGTGGGGGGGGGGGGGGTAGGTGGGGGGGTGAGAGGGAGTAGGTGGGGGGGTGAGAGGGAGTAGGTGGGGGGGGGGGAAGGGAGTAGGTGGGGGGGGGAGTAGGTGGGGGGTGAGAGGGAGTAGGTGGGGGGTGGAGTAGGTGGGGGGTGAGAGGGAGTAGGTGGGGGGGTGAGACGGAGTAGGTGGGGGGGAGGGAGTAGGTGGGGGGGGAGAAGGTAGGGGGGGGGAGGGAGTAGGTGGGGGGGGAGAAGGTAGGGTGGGGAGGGAGTAGGTGGGGGAGAAGGTAGGGGGGGGAGGGAGTAGGTGGGGGGGTGAGAGGGAGTAGGTGGGGGGGTGAGAGGGAGTAGGTGGGGGGAGGAAGGGAGTAGGTGGGGGGGGAGTAGGTGGGGGGGTGAGAGGGAGTAGGTGGGGGGGAGTAGGTGGGGGAGGGAGTAGGTGGGGGGAGGGAGTAGGTGGGGGGGGGAGGGAGTAGGTGGGGGGGGAGAAGGTAGGGGGGGAGGGAGTAGGTGGGGGGGGAGAAGGTAGGGGGGGAAGGGAGTAGGTGGGGGGGGGGAGAAGGTAGGGGAGGAAGGGAGTAGGTGGGGGGGGAGTAGGTGGGGGGGTGAGAGGGAGCAGGTGGCGGTGGAACGGGCCTGGAAGGCGCCCGTGAGCAGAGCGAGTGCGGTGGCGACGCGTGCCCGCGCCGCGTCCCTCGCCGCCTCGTCCACCAGGCTCCCGGCCGTGGCGTTGGACGCGGGGTCGGCGTGCGCGCCTGACGAGTTGGGCGCCGTGAACATGTGGTCGGGCGCGAGGCGCTCCGTCACCTCCCCGGCCATCATGCTGACCACGGCGAACGGGCCTGGGGTGAGGGAGACACGGACTTCAGTTTTCACTTTCATGTATCAGGTATAACCCTGTGAGCCATGCGGCTCTTGACTCGGGTGCAACCGCAACAAAACAACAGCATGAACAAGAAACATCTGAAAGTGACTACACGCAACAGAAAAATCCTGGAAAAAACAGCAAAGTCCCAGTAGGATGCAAGTCAAACAATAACAACCATAAGACAATGTAGATTAAAGTTACCAGTCTAACTCTGTACTACAACAAACAAACATGGCTAAAACTTCAGGTGAGCGGGGTCGGGATCCACCAAGGTGAGGTGACCAACTGCTCACCTGACCCACCCCCGTGCAGGTGGTCCTCGTTGAGCGGCACGGGACACGGGGAGACGGGGAGACGGAGACACAGGGACACGGAGACACAGGGACACGGAGACACAGGGACACGGGGACACGGGGAGACGGAGACACAGGGACACGGAGACACAGGGACACGGAGACGCGGGTATGCGGAAACGGGTATAGACACACTTGGCATTGGGGGCACAGAGGCACGGAGACACGGGTGTCACGGACACACGGGTGTCACGGAGACAGGAGCACGGGCGCACTGAGACACGGGGGCGTGGAGAGAGACACGCGATCACGGGGACACGTCGAGTGAAGAGAGAGGGAGACACGGGTATGCATGGAGACACGGAGACACGGGGAACACGGAGACAGGGAGATGCAGGGGACACGGGGAGACGCAGGGAGACATGGGAGACAGAGATACAGGGTGAGATGTGGAGATACGGGGTGAGATGTGGAGACACGGGGTGAGACACAGGGTGAGACGTGGAGACCCGGGGTGAGACAGGGAGACACGGGGTGAGACACTGGGTGAGACAGGGAGACACGGGGTGAGACAGGGAGACACGGAGTGAGACGGGTTGAGACACGGGGTGAGACGTGGAGACACGGGGTGAGACGTGGCGACACGGGGTGAGACAGGGAGACACGGGGTGAGACAGGGAGACACGGGGTGAGACACGGGGTGAGACACGGGGTGAGACGTGGAGACACGGGGTGAGGCGTGGAGACACGGGGTGAGACGTGGAGACACGGGGTGAGACACGAGGTGAGACACAGGGAGACACGGGGGGGGGAGACGTGGAGACACGGGGTGAGGTGTGGAGACACGGGGTGAGACGTGGAGACACGGGGTGAGGCGTGGAGACACAGGGGGAGACACTGAGACACGGGGTGAGACGTGGAGACACGGGGCGAGATGTGGAGACACGGGGTGAGACACGGGGTGAGACGTGGAGGTACGCACCGACCGAGATGTGCCTGGAGGTGCCGAAGAAGAAGTAGACGAGTGGAGGGTAGAAGGAGGAGTAGAGGCCCAGCACGGGCGGCAGCGCGGCCAGCAGCGCGTACGCCATTCCTGTGTGTGTGTACAGGTGTGTGCAGACAGGTCCAGTAAAAACAACCCCCTACCTCCTCGCGGTGCCGGACGGGCAACGCTGTCGCGGGCAGTGCCGTGGGGGGAGGGCCAATTCCGATTGCCCTCTCCCTTCATGGCGTCTCTGACCACCACAGTGGCTAAATGGGGGCTCTGGACGGGTGCAAGGGGCTGGTAACCCCTCCACCTTCAATAAATTACCACTAAACCACGAATGAAATATGTAACTAATAAGCTTGTGCCGGAGGCCCCGGGGGGACAGGCGTCTATGACGTCTACTGGCCAAACCCCATTTGGCGGAGCCAGGAGATTGAATCTTTACCCTCGGGGCTCCTCCAGAAACAGCGAAAAGCCACTTCGGATGGCCACGTGGAATGTTCGAACGCACACTGCGGAGGAGAGGCTGCTACTCCTCTATCGGGAGCTGAACCGGTCCCGCCTGGATCTCTGTGGCATTCAGGAGGTCTGGTGGACCGGCTCTGACTCCTGCCACCATGAGGGGTGGACAGTCCTCTACTCGGGGCAGGAGACTGCCAAACAACAGGGTGTGGCTCTTCTTCTGTACTTTGGGCTCGCCTGCCCATCAACCGGAGGCGAGGAGTGGTGGTCGTGGTTATTTATGCCTCCACCGAAGACGAACATCCGTGGAGGGATGCAGGCAAGGCCGATGAGTCAGATGCCTTCTATGACCTCCTGTCACAGGTGCTGGTTAAAGTGGCCCCTCGGATTAGAGTCATCTTGTTGGGTGATTTCAATGCCCAAGTTGGGTCATGATGCTGGCACCTGGTCTGGAGTAATTGGAAATCATGGGCCAGATCAGCTCAATAATAACGGTAGGAGGCTGCTAGATTTGTGTGCAGCCCATGGGCTTGTAATTACCAACACGCTGTTTCCGGCATCGGCGCATCCACGCAACATCATGGGTGCATGCCAGGTCCAAGCAAGAACATCTGCTGGACTACGTAGGGACGGACCAGCGAATGCGAGACCATGTCCTTGACACCAGGACCTACCGTGGAAATGATCTTCCCTCTGACCATCGACTTGTCATCTGTAAGATGCGCCTGCCATTCTTCCACTCCGTTGGTGGGTGTACACCCAGGACCCCATTCCAACCTAAGGTGGCCTAGTCTCAGCTAGCTCATGGAAATTGCAAGCGAGAATTTCATCACCACTTGCAGCTGGGGTTGGCATCGTCCCCCACTCCTCCTGATGTTGAGGGTAAATTGGCGAGGTTTATGACTGTGACTCATGCAGCTGCAATGGCTGCTTTGGGTATGTGGTCCAGACCTCCCCAGAGACCATGGCTGACAGAGGAGGTGTTCAGGATGGTTGAAAAAAAGCGACAGGTCCACTCTAATCGTCTACAGCATCCCACGTCAGAGAATGAGGAAGCTTACTGCAGCCTTCGCTCGGAGGTTCAGAGAGCCGTGAGGCGCTGCAAGGATGGGTGGAGGTCGTGGGTTGCTGAGGAGATGGAGTCTGCCTCAGTGGCCCGCCATCATAAATCCCTTTTTAACTCCATCAAAAAAGTAACCTGCAGCGCCACACCTATTACCATCATTAGGGGAAAAAACGGTGATCCAATCTCCGACCCCCAGGAACAGGTTTGCAGATTTGCTGAGCATTTCTGTGAGGTCCTGGGGGAGGGAAAATCCCTCAGCCAGAAAAACATCGTGGCACAAAGTGCGGATGACCCTGCTGAGGCTGCGGTGCCTCAAATATTGGAAGAAGTCACCCCCTGTAAGTGGCTGGCTGAGGTGCCATCTGTTGCGAAGTACTGAAGGCGATCCAGAGTCTGAGACCAGGAAAGGCACCGGGCAGAGATTATCTCCCAAGCGAAATGCTGAGGGAGGGTGGCGTTTGTGCACAGACTGCCCTACATGACATCATAACAACGGTCTGGGCCACTGGATGGGTTCCACAGGATTTGAAGGATGCCCTGGTGGTCCCCCTTTTTAAGAAGGGGGACTGCACAAACTGTAATAACTACAGGGGCATCTCACTCCTCAGTGTGCCGGGAAAAGTCCTGGCAAGGATTATTCAACATCGCCTTGCTAGGCACGCTGAGGAGAGGCTTGCGGATCCCCAATGCGGTTTCAGGAAAGGGCGGTCCTGCACAGATGCCACATTTTCTGTCCTTCTGCTACAGCAGAGGTGTAGGGAATTCCAACAAGACCTACATCTCTGCTTTATTGACCTGGTCAAGGCCTATGTTACCATCAGTAGGCCTGGGTTCTGAGTTGTTCTTCGTGCTTTCGGAGTCCCTGACCCTCTGCTCACGCTCAATAAGGACCTTCATGATGGTGAGCGGGCCCAGGTAAAATTACGTGGCCGGGAGTCAGAGCCATTCCCTGTACACCTTGGGAAGCGACAGGGATGTCCTCCGGCTCCCACATTATTTAACATCTATTTTGACCACGTAGTTCGTGAAGCCATTTGGTACAGATATAATGGGAGGCTGATCGACGCCCGGGTGCGATCAAGGGATGGCTCCCTATTGGTCAACCACATTATGTATGCCGATTATTTGGTAATAGCTGCTCATTCAGAAGAGGAGTTGGATACGCTACTGCTGAAACTGGAGCGTGCCACTAAGAGGTGGGGCCTTACCATCAGCCCCACCAAAACTAAGCACCTGCCTGGGTATTTTGTACCATCGGACACTCCACCCCCACACCTCCCAATCAGTGATGGGGAAGTTGTGGAGAGAGTGGAGAGTTTCCCATACCTGGGCAGTGTGCTTATGACCGGCTCCAGTTTAACAGCAGAGGTCTCACTCCGAATCAGTCGAGCGAAAATATCTTTTCATCGGTTGCATAACGCTGTGTGGAAGCTACCTGGTCTGTCGCTCCGCACGAAGCTTCAGGTCTTCTCGGCCACGGTCATTCCCTCCCTTTTCTACGCTTGCGAAACGTGGACCCCCCTAATGGAGCATCTTCGCCGGTTGGAAACATTTAGGCTGGCCTGCCTACGATCCATCCTGGTTTAACCAGGCTGGATTGTGTGAGGAGCTCACAAATCCTTGAAAGATCTGGGCAAAGTCCCATCGGTGAGCTCCTCCGGCAGGCAAGGCTGCGTTGGCTGGGTCATGTAGCCCGCATGCCCAGCCACCGCATGCCTAAACAGCTTTTGTTCGGCCGGATCGAGGGGGCTAAACGGGCGCGGCACGGGCTAGAGAAGAGATGGAGTGATGTGGTACAGGAGGACATGGAGCTGAGTGGATTTGCCGATGACTGGTACCAGCGGTGTCAAGATCGGCCTCAGTGGAGGAGGCTCGTGAAGGACGCTACTGGGCAGTTGGAGGCAGTCGCCCTACAACAACAACGGAGGGCGAAGGAGCGACGCTCACAACAACGAGCGGAGCGCCGGGTGGCTAAAGCACAGCAAGTTGGTACAGTAGGGGGCAAAGGTGGTGCATCAGCCAGTCATCTCGGTCATCTCGGTCAGTCGACCCGTGGCACCTGCTGGGTCTGCCCCGTGACCTCCTGTCAGCGGGCGTTCGACACTTCACGTGGCCTCAAGGTGCACTTGGCCTGGCACAAGCGTCGTGGTAACGTCACCGCCACTTAGTGGCGAATGGCGGTTGTTGTTGTATGTGTCTGTGTGTATGTATCTGTGCGTGTGTGTCTGTGTGTATGTATCAGTGTGTGTGTATCTGTTTGTATGTATCAGTGTGTGTATCTGTGCGTGTGTATCTGTGCGTGTGTATCTGTGCGTGTGTATCTGTGCGTGTGTATCAGTGTGTATGTATCTGTGCGTGTGTATCTGTGCGTGTGTATCTGTGTGTATGTATCAGTGTGTATGTATCAGTGTGTATGTATCTGTGTGTGTATCTGTGTGTGTGTATCTGTGCGTGTATGTATCAGTGTGTGTATCTGTATGTATCAGCGTGTATGTATCAGTGTGTATGTATCTGTGTGTGTATGTATCAGTGTGTATGCATCAGTGTGTGTATCTGTGTGTATGTATCTGTGCGTGTGTATCTGTGTGTATGTATCAGTGTGTATGTATCTGTGTGTATGTATCTGTGTGTACCCTGCGGCACGGCCATGACCCCCGTGCTGATGCCGGAGACGACGTCGCCCGGGAGGAGCTCGCGCGCGCGATACCGCGGCACCCACCGCAGCGCGGGCACGCGGCGCAGCAGCGTGGCGCGGGCCCGCGCGCGGGAACACCTGGGGGGGGGGCAGGAGATGGGGGGGCATGAGGCGAGGGGGGGGGCATGAGGGGGGGGCATGAGGGGGACACGAGGGGGGAGCAGGAGATGGGAGGGGGGAGCATGAGGCGAGGGGGGGGGATGAGTGGGGGGGGGCACGAATGAGGGGGAGGCATGAGTGGGGGGGGGGGCTTGAGGGGGGGCATGTGGGGGGGGGGCAGGAGATGGGGGGAATGAGTGGGGGGGGACATAAGTGGGGGGGGGGCATGAGTGGGGGGGGCATGAGTGGGGGGGCATGAGTGTGGGGGATGAGTGGGGGGGGGTTTAGGAGATGAGTGGGGGGGGTGAGAGTGTAGGATTGGGGGCAGGTGGGCAGTAGTGGGTTAAGGGGTGGGGGGGACAGGCAGGCGAGTGTTGGTAGTGGGGGGGGAGCAGGGAGTGGTGAGACGTGGAGGGGGTAGTCAGATTAGGGGGCTGGAGGGGATAGTGGGGGGGGGGGCGAGGGGGGTATGGAGGAGGTGGGTGCGCAGGCGATGGCGAGGGGGGTGGTCGTGCTTCTGTCTCACCCTCTGCCGGGTCGGTCTATCCCGGGGGGGGGGGGGGGGGGTCGCGGGGTCCTTGAGGGATCACGGGGTCCTGGGGGTCCCGAGGGGTCCTGAGGGGTCGTGAGGCCCGGGAGGGTCGCGAGGCTCGCCCGCTCGACCCGTGGGTGCCTGGGGGGCCCGAGGGGGGGGGGGCCGAGGGGGGGGGGGTCTCACCTGAAGTAGCGGGAGAGCCAGGCGCGCCGCGCGGCTCCTTGTGGCCCCCTGTCCTCCGCGGCCCCCTGCGTCGGGGCACGGAGATGGTTGCCGAGGTGGCCCGACATGGAGTGTCCTGCTGGAGGAGGAGGAGGCGAGGATGAGGATCCACCCGGGGGGTGGACGCCTCCACGTGAGTCGGGGCACACGTGCCGCGATTGCACGCGAGTGGGTGAGTGAATGGGTGGGTGAGTAGGTGGGTTGGTGAGTGAGTGGGTGGGTGGGTGAGTGAGTGGGTGAGTGGGTGGGTGAGTGAGTGGGTGGGTGGGTGAGTGAGTGAGTGAGTGGGTGAGTGAGTGAGTGGGTGAGTGAGGGGGTGAGTGAGTGGGTGAGTGAGTGTGTGTGGGGTGAGTGAGTGGGTGAGTGACTGGGTGTTTGTGTGTAGGTGGCTAAATGAGTTGGTGCCTGGGTCCGCGATGCGGAGGGTGGCTGAGTGAGCGGGTGGGTGGTTGAGTGAGTGAGCTGGCGAGTTGGTGAGCGAATTGCTGACTGGATTAGTGAGTGAGTGAGTGGGTGAGTGAGGTGTGAGTGGGTGAGTGAGGGGTGAGTGAGTGGGCGAGTGAGTGGGTGAGTGAGTGGGTGAGTGTGTGGGGGTGAGTGAGTGAGTGAGTGGGTGGGCGAGTGAGTGAGTGAGTGCGTGGGTGAGTGAATGAGTGAGTAAGGGGATGAGTAAGTGGGTGAGTGAGTAAAGTGGGTGGACGAGTGAGTGGGTGAGTGAGTGAAGTGAGTGGGCGATTGAGTAGTGGTGAGTGAGTGATGATGGGTGAGTGGGGAGTGAGTCAGTGGGTGAGTGAGAGATTAAGAATGGAGTGGGTGAGTGAGTGAGTGGGTGAGTGGTGGTGGGGGTGGTGAGGGGTGAGTG